TTGATCATCTTTACAATCATTACCTTGAACCCTTTATTGGGTTGATTGCCTGTCTCCACTTCTCTTAGTTCTTCTTCTGGGGTTTTATCTCATTCTTTCATTTGGAATGTGTTCCTGTCACCTTTTTTTTTGCCTAATTCTCTGTGTTTATGTCTATGTATCTGGTAGGTTGGTTATGTTTCCAAATCTTGGAGAAGTATCCTTGTGTAGGAGATGTCCTGTGCATCCCAGCAACACACTTTCCTCTGGTCACCAGAGCTAATATGCTCTAGGTGTGCTCTCTATGTGGGCTGTGTGTGTCTTTCTCTTGTGGTGGGTTGACTAGTTGGGTGGTCTTGTAGGCATGACTGGCTTCTGGTCCAGTTGGTTACCAGGCCTTGCCTTTTGCAGAAGCTGCTGTCACTGGTTGGCAGGGCTGGGTGGCTGATAAACTCTGGCTACTGCTGGCTCACTGGTGAGCAGAGCCAGTTTCTGGGGCTGGGTGGTTGTGGGGCTAGGATTCCAGGGTCTAGTGCTGGCCTGCTGGGGGGTGGGGTTATTTCCTGACATGGTTGGCTGCAATTTCCTAGGTGTCCCAAAGCTAGTGCTGGCCCACTAGTGAGCGGTGCTGGATCCCAGAGAAGTTGGCTGAGAAAATCAAGGTATCTCAGAGTTGGTGTTGGCCTGCTGATGGGCAGGGCCAGAACGCTTGGTGTCCTGGGGCTGATGCAGGCCTTATGGTGTATTGGCTGTGTCCTGACAGGGCAGGCTATGGGGCTGCAGTGATCCTAGGGCTCATGTCCACCTGCTGCTGTTGGGAAGGTTTCAGGCTTCGAAGAATCTGGGACTGATTCCCACCCACTTATGGGTGGAACCAGGTCCTAGAGTCTCTGGGTGCAGGGCGCTGGGTGTCCTGAAGCTGGTGTTGGCCCACTGGTGAGCAGGGCCAGGTGCTAACACAGCTGGCTTCGGGGTCCAGAGTGTCCCAAAGTTCGTGTTGGCCCACTGATGGGTGGGGTGGGATCCCATGGCAGCTGACTGAGAGGCCCAAGATGTCTCAGAACTGGTGTTGGTCTGCTGGTGGGTGGGACCAGGGCCGAGAGGTTCCTAAGACTGGTGCTGGCCTGTTGGTAGGTGGGCTGGGTCCTGCCACTGTAGACCATGAGGCTGTGGTGGTCCCAGGGCCGGTGTCTGCCCATTGGTTGGGTGGAACTGAGTCTCAGAGTCTCCAATTATAGGGGACCCTGGGGGTCCTGGAGTTGGTGTGTCAGCCTGCTGGTGGGTGGGTCTGGGGCCCTGGGGGTCCTAGGGCTGATGCCTGCTCACTGGTGGGCAGAGTTGGGTCCTAGGATCTCTGGCTGCAGAGCCCTAGGGGTTCCTGTGCTTGCACCTGTTAACACTGGTATTTGGGGCTGGGTCCCTTTTGTTGACAGGGTCAAGTCCTGGGATGGCTTGGGCTCAGGAGGTCTTAAGGCAACCTGCCCGCAAGGTTGGGTGGGTCTTTGTCCCCACCTGGCTAGTTGCTTGGCCTGAGGCATCCTAGTACTTGTGCCTACAGGCTGGCAGACAGGGTAAGGTCCTAGTGCTAATAAGCTAGAGGGAGGATTCCTAAATGGCACTTGCCAGCATCTGTTTCCATGCAGTAGAACAATCTCCAATAAATGGCTGCTGCCCGTGTCTACATGCCTAGAGTGAGTTCCAGTTGCCTCCTGACTCTCTAGGAGACACTCCAAGATTAGCAGGTAGATCTGACCCAAGCTCCTCTTAAATCAATGCCTCTGCCTCTCATCCTGGACCATGTGAGATTTTGTGTGCCTCCTTTAAGAGTGGAGTCTCTATTTCCCACAGCCCTCTGGGTCTTCTGAAAGTAAGCCCCGATGGCCTTCAAAGCCAAATGTTCTGGGGGCTCCTCTTCCCGGTACAAGACCTTCAGGCTGCAGAGCCTGATGTAGGGCTCAGACCCATTCCTCCTAGGGGAGAACCTCTGCAATTGTAATTATTCTCCCATCTGTGGGTCACTCACCTGGGGGTATGGGTCTTGACTATACCACAACTCCACACCTTCTACTCATCTTTCTCCTTCTTTATATCTTTAGTTGCAGGAGATCTTTTCTACTAGATTCTGGTCTTTCTCGTCAATAATTGCTCTGCAAATAATTATACTTTTGGTGTGCTTATGAGAGCCGATGAGCTCAGGGTCTTCCTACTCTACTATCTTGGCCTGAACTCATGATTATCTTTTAATGTCATCCATTTAGAAGGAGTAAAGCTCACTTGAAATTGAAATGTGAAAAAACATTTCAAATCATTACCAGGATGGCAGAGGGAAAACCAGGGTGGATTGGGTGGTAGTTCTAGGTCCATAACAAATTAATTATGAACTCTGGGCAATTCACCTAACATCTGAGTGTTGGTTTCATTTGCAGAAGGGAAGGTGATGGGTTGGTCAGTGGCTTTTAAGCTGTGCTCTCTTGATGTCTGTGAGTTGTGGTGGGATATTGGAAGGTATTCCAGTTCTCCAACCCTTGCTCCAAGCAGAAAAAATCTGCTTTTATCTGATTTTTATAGTAAAGCACTGAATAAATTTTATTTTTAAACAGGTCTTATTGCTTAAGAACATTTGAAAGCCACTAAAGTGAGTTGTTTCCACCATCCCATGATAACTTATTGATACTATAAAAGATTATGAATTTAATTTTTAAAATAATTAATGGAAAACCTACCCTATGCAAGGCACTATGCTGGATATTAGAAAATGAAGATTGTATGTATTCTAGCCTATTGCATAATACAAGGAAAATGTAACAGTAACATTAGTGTAGAACTAGAAAGCTCAGAGGAGGGGAAGCTCTGAGACTAAACAAACATACACATAGCATATGAATATATATTAATGTTGCATATAAATATATATAGATTATAGATATGGTACCTATATATAACATATATGATATATGTGTATATATATTTCATATGCAACCTAGAAGGAAATGAGGCAAAATTTATGTTTAATTGATGTGTCTTGTTAATATATAGGACTTTCATCTCCCTTCATATTCTACTGTCTTGAATCACAGTGCTTTTACACTATTGAAAATCAGAAGGTAGCTACATAATTGCTTATGTATTTATCACTGTTTCTTACCAATGTGTATGCTACACTTGAAGACAATGGTTATGATCTGTAAGGAGATGTTTGTCAAACACTTTTTTTGTTCATTAAATGGATAGCCATTTCACACTGTAAATCACAGCATGAGACTTAAGCACATTCTATCAGGAGGTTTACCATACTTTTAAAAATAACTTTTCAGTTTCTGGCTGGAGAAGATATTTCAGGCAGTAATTTATTTCAGTATGATCCCCTAATGGATTCAAAGATTGTCAGCACCTTCTAAAGGCCCACATAATGGTGATCTTTAAAGTAAAAACTATTTTGTTCATCTTTTTATTTCCCCAGCTCAGCACAGTACTTTATGAATAAAGTACTCAAGTTTTTAATAAGAAACTGTCATCAATTATTTTATAGGAAGTAAAACCCCATATAGATAGGAGCTGGCAATAGTTTAAATTGTTACTAAATATCAATAACGTTTTATCATCATGTTAGCACAGATTAAATTTAAGTGAAATGAAATGAAGAAAATACTGAGTCTTATGTTTGTAGTTGTGAAACACCAGTATTTTAGGATGAGCCATCAATGCTAATGGCTCTGTAACAAAGTATGAATATATACAGATTCAATGAAAACTGTTAAATTATGGAAATTCCTTGGAAAAAAATGGAAACACACATTCTAAAATACACACCAGTGTTCAGTCATCACTTCCACCAGACGTTGGCAAAAGTTTTTGTAGAGGTAAGATGGTGATATTTTTGGTTTTGCATCTTTGTTGGAACTACTCAGTTCTGCCACTTTCTTCAGCAGTAGAGAATATATAAATGAACGTGCATGGCTGTGTTCCAATGAAATAGGCAGATGTCCGGATTTGACTCAAGGGACCATAGTTTGCCAACCACTCACTTATACAGCCACAAATGATTCTTATAATGTCTTTGTTTTTCCATTGAAAACTGACAGGTATTTTTTAATGGAGGTGCCATAAATATTTTCTAAATAATCATTTTCAAAATCTCTGTTCCAAGATTACACTTAAAGAATTAAAATGGAGACGTGTTCTAATTTACCATACTATAGCAGTAGTTGTCAAATATAGTTTTAACTGCTATATCATAATTTAGCACATGAAATTGATCTCATGTAGTGAATTGTAGTTAATTTTATCTTCACAAAAATACTGACAAATATCAATAAATAAGTAATCTTAACTTGTAATTTTTAATTATTCTATTAATATTTGGGATTTAAAATATATTTAGCATGACTGACTTAACAACTTAGGTCTTTGTCTTGATTTTGTGAACAAAACTTCATGAACCAACTTGATTCAGAACAATGATGAATTCAGGAGACTTAGGTATTACAAACCACTAAGGTGTGGTTTACTTGAAAACTACAACTGTTTTAATTCTCAGCTCAGATATAATGTCATTTGCACATTTTATTCATTTTATGTAACTCAATAACTGCCATCTCTTAAAAATATGGTAGTGGCTCAAATGAAAACATTCCCTGTTCTAAAGAAACTACTGACCATACAAACAGCTTTCTTAAAAGCATATCCTCTACCATATGTGATGTGGCATGATTTAGTAGAAAATATCATTGGACAGGCATCAGGAGACCTGGTTATCAATCCCAATGTGTTATAAATCAACTAGATCTGAACAAATTAGTTGACTGGGATACATTAATTTACTCTTATATAATGTAGGAATAACACCATGCACCTCTCCTATAGTGACAACTTGTATTAAAAAGCATGGAAGTCCCTTGTAAGTAAGTTATCAAATGCTATATAAAACCGATGCAAGGATACTTTCTCTTTCAATGCCAGAAAAGTCTGAGAGCATTGCTGTTTCTAAATTGTGGCTTAAGATTTTGTTTCATTTTGTTTTTAAGAGGGAGGAGAAAGTTCTTTTTCAAATAATTATTTATGTTTGTGGTCTTTCCCCTCTTTAACATATCATAATTGCTTTCAGCTTGCTTAAGCTGAACGAGTGGGTATCTAGGTGTGTTCAACAGTTTGAAATGTAAGTAAGATGCAGTTAGGCTCTACATACACATATTTATCAATACATTTCACAGGAATCTGAATACTAAGTTTTCAGTGGATGGGACAAAAATCACAACAGGCAACTTTATTTGTAGAATTTGATCCAAAACTCCAGAAAAAATAAACAAAAGGAGCCGAGTCTCTATTATGTTAGTACACAAAATAAACAAAAAAATACATCAACATTTACCATGAGATCATTTAAATGTGTCTGCAAATGATCTGATAAGGGAAATGTGATTTACAACATGGGAAACTTTTTTTTTTTTTTTTAAACAACCATAGACTTAAATGCACTGTGCTGTAGGTCACCTAGACTAGGTTAGCAAGAATGAGCAATGTGGTAGGTCCAAAAGGTAAACCCCCAAACACCTTCCTTCAGTGGAAACTTTGGTAATTGTCTGTGGTTAAAAACAAAAAACTAAAAACACCAACTCCTGTTCTTCATCATGTTGGATGGTTATTTTGTCCATTTTTCTCCCGCGATGATGAGTCCATTTTAAATACTTCAATTATTATGAAGACACTCCAAATCCACAGAACAGCAGACACTTCCATTCTGTGCATCAAGACACAAGCATTAGCCAATGAGACATAGAATATAAATCAATATGTAGTGTCCACCTTTATATTCAAAATGACCATCTACGTCTTGAGACCAACTCCATGAATGCTATAAAAAAATTACTAGAGAAATGCCAAAGATTTATGAGACCCTTCAGGGTCCCTCTTGTTGGCTACTGCTGGCAGTGCAACTTCATACACCCCTGTCTGAGCTCAGACCATGTTTGTTTGAGACTCCTCTGTATTTCCAAGTTGTTTGTTTACACAACTTATTCACTGGACTTACTCTAAATGAGATTCTTTCCAAAAATAACCCCCTGAAAGATAAATAGCCATTAATAATACTAGTCAAAAGTACCAAAAGAGTCTGAAAATTACTCCAAAATGGCTTACAGAAAGGTGGGCATGTTAGGGGTAAATATAGACTATCTCATGGTGACTGTGAAGGGGATGGTACATATCAATTTTGGGGAATTCATGAAAAGTCAATTACATGTATTAATGTAAATATACCTTTATAATCCTCCTAAATGAATCTCAAATCTAATCTCAGAAAAATAATACTAAATAACATAGGTCTCCACATCTCCTGGTCATTGTGTTTGATGGGGCTGAAGGTACAATGGGACCATGACTCTTGGTATATGCAGCTTGATGTCCTTTATGTATTGGGGCTGCATTTTAAGATGGTACTTTTCAGGAAGGAGACAAGAATCCCCATTTAACAGCATAAAAAGACAAGTTGGGATCCTTCCACTGATGCCTGAAGCTGAGCCAGGATTTGATAGAACTGAATGGACTAATATATATATATATATATATATATATATATATATTTTAAATATTTATTTATTTATTTATTTATTTATTTTGCGGTACGCGGGCCTCTCACTGTTGTGGCCTCTCCTCTCACTGTTGTGGCCTCTCCAGTTGCGGAGCACAGGCTCCGGACGCGCAGGCTCAGCGGCCATGGCTCACGGGCCCAGCCACTCCGTGGCACGCGGGATCTTCCCTGACCGAGGCACGAACCCGTGTCCCCTGTATCGGCAGGTGGACCCTCAACCACTGCGCCACCAGGGAAGCCCAGGCACTAATATTTTTAACATGCTTAATCATGGGAATCTTAAGCAGATGTTTCTGCAGAAATTTGACCCTTCCTAACCCTTGCTTCAAGTTGACTACAGTCATAGCTCTTCATAAGCTTTGAAGGTAGGAAGGGGTCAGTTGTTAATTTTAATGACATAGGATGCCTCATGGTAACTCCTCCAAAAAGATAGGCAAATAATCACAATTAATTAAATTGTGCAGCAAGAGCTTCAAGTCCCTGCATTAGGTACTGTGATAATTAAACAAAGCAAAAAACTTCATAGGTTTATAGAACACTTTCTTCTAACATTGGCAGTTTCATGAAAGAGCTTATAAAAATTTCCAGGATGAAAAAAGATTTTTTTTTTTTACTTTTTAATATGCAGGTCAAAATAGCTTAAATCAGCCATAATTGGGCCTAGTGCAATTGTTTAAATCCTGTATTTTAAAAGGCAAAAGAGAGGACTGTTTTATTCCATGGTTATCATTTGGAATTTGCCTTAATACATGGTACAGCTACAATCCATTCAGACAGATTAACCTCTGGTGAGAAGCAAATGCCTGCCTGTGTTTCCACCATGCCCCTTGGAACCTGTGCATTCAGAAACATCAGGAGTGGACCTCCTGCAGGTGTTCTCTGGCAATTGTTCAAGGCCTGGTTATCCTCAGGACACCCAATTACCTTGCATTTGCAGGTTGTGCAGGGAGATCCAGTCATTGTCCACACTGAGCCACTAAGCCTAGAAAGGCCATAGCTGTCCAGGCAAGTTTTCCTGATGTCATAGGCGATGTTATCAGCCAGGCAGGGGTCACTGACACAGCGGGGACAACATTCCCCTTCCAAGATGGTTGTGTACTCACAGTTCAAATTGGGGCAAGTGAGCGGCCAGCAATCTACCTCTCCTTCCTGTGGAGAGAAAGCCAAAATACTTCATCATTGACCTTATGCACAATCCTCTTGCCAAAGTCCCAGAGGGGGAAATTCTCAGGAATCTCCATCACTGTCCTCACTGACTGTTGCTACTTTAGCATCATTATGGGTATGATGTGTTTCCTCCTTGAAGAACAAATACAGACATCACCTCCTCCAGAGTGCTTTTGCTGACTGTCTATACTGTAGCCGTGGAAAGAGTTCGGTCCCATCTCTGCGTGCCAATGGCAACCCATAATTATTTTTATCGTGAGACTTATCATAATTATCAATACAATTCCAGATTACGTTTTGAGCTTTCAGGCTTTGGGCTTGTTCCTTTATCTCCCCAATGCTTAGCACAGTTCTGGTCAATAAATGCTAAGCAAATGAACAAATACATGATAAGGTACTGAGCTAGTGTGTAAACAGAAATCTATTTCTCTTAAGGTCAAAGAGGAACTTAAACCACTGTACTATTTCAATAACAACATGCACTGAGTTGCTTATATTGGATTTAAAATTGAGGTTGGGCAATATCAGGAGAACAATTTCATAATGGTTTTGAATGTAATGTCTGGCTAGTGACACATCACAAATGTGTATAAGGTGTTACAGTTCAGACAGAGCCTCCAAGTATTCCAGGATGTGGCCACTGTGGCTCTACTGAGCTGCACATAGTAGAGACTACTACCTATGTAGCCTCTTCCATTATCATGACACTCATTATAATTTATGCAAATGCATGCCTAATTATTCAGTCAGCTTCACAAGACTATGGCCTTTGGTCAGCTTCATGATAGACCATGTCTGTCATGCTCATTGTTATATCATCCAGAGTCTGGCACATACAAACTATTGATATTTATTAAATATAACCCACTTTATTCTTAAGTCGTTATTAAGTTATATTCAGCAGCTACAGTTCTCCCAGGAAACAATAACCTTAGGGTCTGGGGATGAGAGAGGATACTCTTGAAATTCTATGAAAATATCATGTCTAAAATTAATACCAATTTTTCTGAGTGCCTGATGATTGGCTTCTTCAAAGAGAAATGTAATTTTCCAGGCTGATATGGAACTTAATTCTATAGTTGTGTTGGGTTTGCCTGTTTTTGAATGGGAGATGTAAGAATGGCTATGATTTGAATATATCTGAGTTATACTCCTCAGTATTAGGAGTGATTGAGAAGGATTTGTTTCTATTAAGATTATCTGCACATTTGCCAGGTGACTTTAGAAAATCCAATAGAAATTTACAGCACAGTTTTTCTGAATGCCTGTTTTTATACAGTATCCATAGACTGAATCATTAACTTTAGCAAATGTTAAATTATGGAACACAGCTAACAGTTTCCATTACAAGTTGACTTAGTTATGACTTAGCTCCACTGGCTATAATTACATCAGAGATGGAACATCATATTCACTATGATAATGTGTCTTAACAGTCTTTGCAACATTAGAAATCTTTCTTCGTGTTATATAATTTGAAACAGAAAGAGCCAGGTCCAGAAATTAAGGTTTTTCTCTGGACTTTCTCTAACCTGATTATATCATTAGTATCCCCATATTAAGAGACATAATAACCTTCATTTTTCTACATTAAGGTTTAGCACTGTAAAACAAATTTTTCAATCTAGGAAATATGAACAATAGTAACTATCGTGCACTAAGTACCTTCTATGTGTCAAGTTCTACACTTGCCTTTCACATAACTGATCTTCACAACAGCCCTGAAAAATAGGTGCCCATCCACTTGTGTACGCTGAAGGAAAGAATGATCAAGTAAAATGTTAGGACTTGCCCAAGTTAATTACACACATCTTGCATGTGGGAGAACCAGGACTGTCTCTATGACCTAGAATCAATATCAATCCCTGATATTTCTACTATGTTCTGCTATCTCTGATATTGAAACCTTTAATGGTAATGTCCCAAGAAATGAAATATTTGGCTCTGTAAGAACTACAAGTCCCCATCAAGGCTTTGATAGCTTTCTATCATGTGGGGAATTTTATTGATCTGGAGTGGCTAAAAAGTAGCAATTGTAAACTAACTTGGACCAAATCTGTGCTATAAATGTCCTTTCTGTCTTACATGGTGTTTTAAATAGTAGAACACTAATGTCTTCTGGAAGAACATATGCCCCGTAATTAGCCACAGGACCCACAACTCCCTGCACAGGATCACAATTCGCAGGAAACTAAGTCCCACAGACAACTGAGCTTGTAAACCCCTCCAGAATATATAGGATAACACACTCTAAAGGAAGCCAACATACCAGACACCGGCACTGCTGGCAACTGTGAGTCCAGTTGTCTCCACTGCGATAGAGCTTGTGTCCGTTTTGATCTAAACATTGACTTGTGACCCTGGTGTCACACTCTGGGCAACAGAAAAGGTCAACGCTTGGATTCTGGCAATCACAAGCTGTCCGCCGGCAGAATATCTTCCCATCCTGTTTAGAAATGAGATTAAGGAGCTTTCATCATTAGGGAAACAATAAGCTGCACTATGGAAACCAAATCTTATAAACACTTTACAGAGCACATAGGAAAGATTTCTAGTCAGAGTGCTCCCCTGGCCACCCCCCATTTTGCTCGAAACAGATGCACACATGTATACTCACATATACACACCCTGCCTTTCCCTGACCTTGCTTGCAGGGCAGTCCAAGTAAACATGGAGACATTTCTAAGTTGCAGATGGAAGTCAATATGTTCTTTCAAACTTTTCTTATAAATGTTTCTTAAAAATCATTTCTAAGTAACATTATAACTAAGCAGCTAAAAATGCATAAATAGTCAAGCACTCATTTGAGTGGAAAATCATGCTGCTGTACTTTTCCCAGTTCACAATGAACAACCTAATACATTCAAATGCATTCATCTAATTTTATTTCTGGCTCAACTCTGGGAGGAAGTCTGACTATACCCTTTTTACAGAAGAATTAACTGAGGCCCAGAGAGGCTAAAAGACTTATCTAGTAACACAGAGGTAGCAATTCTCTAAGCACCACCACCAGATATTCTGGTTTTGAAATAATTTTTCTTCTACAAGATAGCTTTTAGGTTGTTTATTATAAGGAGCTACAGTAAGGTGTCACTTCCCACCTTGAGGCAGCTCCCCAAATTATAGGCAGAGTACAATTTCTGGAATAATGGCCCTGAACACTCAGAAGGGATTGAAGGTCAACAGCACTCAAACGTTAAGACAGAACGTTGTGCAGTGTTTCTCATTTATATGTCTGTTGCTCGCAGTAACTTCTCATCTCAGACAATGAAGAGCTAAAAATTTAAGGTGAGACATATGGCCACCTTTTATGGTTATAACTGCTTTGCTGAATATTTACAAAACCAGAGAATCTCAGGGCCAGAATACACCTTAGAGGACACATAACCAAACTTTCTGACCTATACTTTATTAGTCTAGAGCAACCATATTCAAAAGTCATCAAGCCTGTGCTTAAAGCTCTCCGGTCTTGAAGAACTCACCACCATGGAAGGTATTCTAATTATGCAACTCTGTACCTTTCTGAAGGTTAAAAATTGTACTTTTTCTTGCCCATCTTCATTGATCCTTGTTTACACCCTTGGTAATCATAGAACTCCCCATCCCTTCTATCACATTTTTACTCTTCGTTCTTAGAAGAGAGCTCTTACGTCTCCTCTGAAACATCTCTAATTTTTTGACCACTCCCCATAGTTTTGAATCTTCTCACTGTTGTTGTGGCCACTTTCTTTTTTAAATTTTTAATTGTTTTTATTTTAAAATATTTTTGTTTTTAAAATTTTTATTGAAATATACTTGATTTACAAAGTTGTGTTATTTTTAGCTGTACAGCTAAGTGATTGTTATACATACATGTAGATATATATTTTCTTTTTTTTTTTTACATTTTCTTCCATTATAGGTTATTACAAGATATTGAGTATAGTTCCCTGTGCTATACAATAGGTCTTTGTTGGTTATCTATTTTATATATAGTAATGTTTATATTTTAATCCCTAACTCCTACTTCATCCCCCCATTTCCCCTTTTGTAACCATAAATTGGTTTTCTATGTCTGTGGGTCTATTTCTATTTTGTATATAAGTTCATTTAATCATTTTTTAGATTCCATACATAAGTGATATCATATAATATCTTTCTCTGTCTCACTTCACTTCGTATGATAATCTCTAGGTCCATCTGTTTTGCTGCAAATGGCATTATCTCGTTCGTTTTTTATGGCTGAGTAATATCGCATTGTATATATGTACCACATCTTTATCCATTCCTCCATTGATGGACATTTAGGTTGCTTCCATGTCTTGGCTATTGTAAATAGTGCTGCGATGAATATTGGGGTGCAAGTATCTTTTTGAAGTATGGTTTTCTCCAGATATATGCCCAGGAGTGGGATTGCTGGATCGTGTGGTAGTTCCATTTTTAGTTTTGTAAGGAACCTTCATAGTGTTCTCCATGGTGGTTGTACCAAGTTACATTCCCACCAACAGTGCAGGAGGGTTCCCCTTTCTCCACACACTCTCTAGCATTTATTGTTTGTAGACTTTTTGATGATGGCCATTCTGACCAGTGTGTGGTGATACCTCATTGTGGATTTTATTTGCATTTCTCTGATAATTAGTGATGTTGAGCATCTTTTCATGGCTTTTTGGCCATCTGTATGTCTTCTTTGGAGAAATGTCCATTTAGATCTTTTGCCCATTTTTTGATTGGGTTGTTTGTTTTGTTTGTTTTTCACATAGAGCTGCATGAGCTGTTTGTATATTTTGGAGATAAATCCCTTGTCGGTCACCTTGTTTGCAAATAATTTCTCCCATTCTCTGGGTTGTCTTTTCGTCTTGTTTATGGTTTCCTTTGCTGTGCAAAAGCTTTTGAGTTTAACTAGGTTCCATTTGTTTATTTTTGTTTTTATTTTCATTACTCTAGGAGGTAGATCCTAAAAGATATTGTTGCAATTTATGTTACAGAGTGTTCTGCCTATGTTTTCCTCTAAGAGTTTTATAGTGTCCAGCTTTACACTTAGGTCTTAATCCATTTTGAGTTTACTTTTGTGAAAGGTATGAGAGAATGTTCTAATTTCATTCTTTTACATGTAGCTGTCCAGTTTTCCCAGCACCACTTATTGAAGAGACTGTCTTTTCTCCATTGTATATCCTTGCCTCCTTTATTGTAGATTAACTGACCATAGGTGCATGGGTTTATTTCTGGGCTTCCTATACTGTTTCATTAATCTATATTTCTCTTTTTGTGCCACTACCATACTGTTTTGATTACTGTAGCTTTGTAGTATAGTCTGAAGCCAGGGAGCCTGATTTCCTCCAGCTCTGTTTTTCTTAGGATTGCTTTGGCTATTCAGGGTCTTTTTGTGTTTTCATACAAATTTAAAAAGTTTTTGTTCTAGTTCTGTGAAAAATGCCATTGGTAATTTGATAGGGATTGCATTGAATCTCTAGATCATCTTGGGTAGTATAGTCATTTTCACAATATTGATTCTTCCAATCCAAGAACATGGTATATCTTTTCATCTGTTTGTATCACTTTCTATTTCTTTCATCAGCATCTTATAGTTTTCAGAGTACAAGTTTTTGCCTCCTTAGGTCGGTTTATTCCTAGGTAGTTAATAATTTTAGATGCAGTGGTAAATGGAATTGTTTCCTTAATTTGTCTTTCTGAATTTCTGTTGTTAGTGTATAGAAATACAAGAGATTTCTGTGTATTAATTTTCTATTCTGCAACTTTACCAAATTCATTGATGAGCTCTAGTAGTTTATGGTAGTGTCTTTAGAATTTTCTATGTATAGTATGATGTCATCTGCAAACAATGACAGTTTTACATCTTTTCCATTTTGGATTTTTCTCTTTCTTTTTCATCTCTAATTGCATGGCTAGGACTTCCAAAACTATGTTGAATAAAAGTGGTGCGAGTGGACATCCTTGTCTTGTTCCTGATCTTAGAGGAAATGCTTTCCGCTTTTCACGATTGAGAATGATGTCAGGTGTGGGTTTGTCATATATGGCCTTTATTATGTTGAGGAAAGTTCCCTCTATGATCACTTTCTGGGGAGTTGTTTTCTTTTATATCATAAATAGTATTAAATTTTGTCAGAAGCATTTTCTGCATCTATTGAGATGATCATATGGTTTTTATTCTTCAGTTTGTTGATGTGGTGTATCATACTGATTGATTTGTAGATATTGAAGAATCCTTGCATCCCTGGGACAAATACCACTTGATCATAGTGTATGACCCTTTTAATGTATTGTTGGATTCGGCTGGCTAGTACTTTGTTGAGTATTTTTGCATTTATGTTCATCAATGATATTGGCCTGTAATTTTCCTTTTTGTGGTATCTTTGTCTGGTTTTGGTATCAGAGGGATAGTGGCCTCATAGAGCTTGGGGGGTGTTCCTTCCTCTGCAAATTTATGGTAGAGTTTCAGAAGGACAGGTGTTAATTCTTCCCTAAATGGTTGATAGAATTTGTCTGTGAATACATCTGGTCCTGGACTTTTGTTTGTTGGGAATTCTTTAATCACAGTTTCAAGTTCAGTGCTTGTGGTTGGTCTGTTCATATTTTCTATCTCTTCCCGGTTCACACTTGGGAGATTGTACTTTTCTAAGAATTTGTCCATTTCTTCCAGGTTGTCCATTTATTGGCATATAGTTGCTTGTGGAGTCTCTTATGATCATTTTTATTTCTGTCATGTTAGTTTTAACTTCTCCTTTTTCATTTCTAATTCTATTGATTTGAGCCCTTTCCCTCTTTTTCTTGATGAGTCTTGCTAAAGGTTTATCAATTTTGTTTATCTTTTCCAGGAGCCAGCTTTTAGTTTCATTGATCTTTTCCAATGTTTTCTTCACCTCTATTTCATTAATTTCTGCTCTGATCTTATGACTTCTTTGCTTCTACTAACTTTCACTTTCGTTTGTTCTTCTTTCTGTACTTGCTTTAGGTGTAAGGTTAGGTTGTTTGAGATTTTTCTTGTTTCCTGAGGTAAGATTGTGTTGCTATAAACTTCCCTCTTAGATCTGTTTTTGCTGTGTCCTATAGGTTTTGGATCGTCGTGTTTTCATTGTCATTTTTCTCTAGGTGTTTTTTGATTTCCTCTTTGATTTCTTCAGTGATCCATTGGCTGCTTTGTAACGTATTTTTTAGCCTCTGTGTGTTTGTGCTTTTTACAGTATTTTTCCTGTATTTGATTTCTAATCTCATGGCATCGTGGTCAGAAAAGATGCTTGATATGATGTCAAATTTCTCAAATTTTACCGAGGCTTAATTTGTGGCCCAAGATGTGATCTATCCTCCATGTGCACTTGAGAGAAAAGTGTATTCTGCTGCTTTCAGATGGAATGTTCTATAAATTAAGTCCATCTGTTCTAATGTGTCATTTAAGGCCTGTGTTTCCTTATTGATTTTCTGGCTGGATGACCTGTCCATTGATGCAAGTGG